GTCTTTCCTGCCCGGGCTGGCGTTGAACCGTGATCCTCAGATCTCAGCCTCCTGAGTAGCTAGGATTGCAGGTGTGAGCCACCAGCGCCCTGCTAGCTTTTCTTTTTTTGAGTAGTTAACAGTCTCATGGTCTTCTCTGTCTGAGCTGCCTTCAAACCATGATCCTTAGATCTCAGCCCCTGAGTAGCTAGGATAACAGACATGAGCCAATGGGGCCTGGCTTGAATGCATCTTATAAAAGAAATATATGGGACTTTAAAAAGAAGTCAGCCCCAAAACTTATGGCTCTTTACAAGGTAGTGCTGTGATATTTTCCCACATAGGTAGACTTGCAATTTCGCCTTCAATTAAGTAACATCTATTTTTCCTTGTTTCATTGACAAAAGTCCACTAAATTGATTTTATGGAGGGAATGACATATATTATTGTATTGTTTCAAAATTACATTCCAATGTACCTCTTAAAATATAAGGAGATCTGTCCACATGGTGACCTTGGTATTTTACTTCTATCTTCAGATTTTTGTAGCTTGCGTACATTCTGTATCTTACTATGAAAGACCCATCCTTCCGGTCTAAAACCTGGACTCCAACTCTAGTGAATTGCTCCTCAGGGGCTGAGATTTTAACCTGGAACACCTTTTCACCTGGAGAAGATGTGAACCTGGGAAGGCAACAAGAAGCAAAGGTTATTGGATGGAACACACAGGTAGCAATCATGCTCTAACCTATGCCTGTTGCTTCTTTCTATGTTTTCAAGAATAAATACAATGACTCAAGGATGAAAAAAGTTAACAATGGCTCCAATAAGGTAAGATATATCCATCTGATAGGTTATGACACAAGATATGACTACTAAGCAATGTAAGCACAGAAACATGTATACATTCCACATGTAAAAATATCCCTATTAGTCTATTATTTATTCATGTCTATTCTACCTGGAAGTTTGTGAATAAATGGAATCTCAAAGAGGATCTTATAACTTCCTTTATTATTTTAAATTTTTAAAATCATTATTATAAAGGAGATGTATATTGGGGTTACCATTATATACGTCAAGTATATTTAAGAGTACATTTCTTTTTGGACAATGTCCCCTTCCCTCAATCTCTCCCAGGCTTTTTTATTCTTTATTTCATCTTTAAGTAGCTGTTGTAAAAAGGGGGTTCAATTCAACATACCAATTTTTAACTACAATGCATTCTGGTCAATGCCACCCCTTCAGTCTTCCCACTCACTGCTCCCCATCCCACCTGCCCCCTCTCAAGTTACCTAGTTCCATATTCACACAGGCACTTGTATATGACTGTATGTACCCACTATTCATTCATCTCTCCTTTCACCTCCCCTGTTTTACCCTCCCAAAACAAACCAACACGCTTCAGCTTTCTAGTATTCTTTTTAAGACTACATTAGTTGTACTATACTTCTTTCACATATATTTATGTCAGATCTAACTTCCATAAATGAGAGAAAACAGGCAGTTTTTTCGAGCCTGACTCACTTCACTTAACATAATTTTTTCCAGGGAGGACCTTACTTTTAAAAATTGTTCTCAATGACTCTTAAAGTACCAGTATCCTAAACTGTGCCCAGCCTTAGGCAAAATCAAAGAAGGTGGTGAATCGTACCAGTGTCATCAGTGTTATTAAGTGCACACTCCTGTTATTAAAATGGCACTTATTTTTTCCACTTGTACTATTAATAGGCAAATGAAAAAACAACCTTCTCCATCTTCACTTTGGACAATGTTTAATTCCCAAGATTTTTTTTTTTTTTGCCCTGTAAAACACACACAGCATCCACCAAGAATAAAGTCCATCATTACAGTGTCTGTGTGTGTGTGTGTGTACACTCATACATGCCCTGGTCCAGGATTTGAACTAGGGTTTGGGCACTATTCTTGAGTTTTTTTTTCTTTTGGTTCAGTCAGTCCTCTACCACTTGGGCCACAGCTCCACTTCGGGCTTTTGTTTTGGTAGTTAACTGGAAACAAAAATCTCATGGACTTTCTTGCTTTGAACAGCCATTCGCTGATCTCAGTCTCCTAAGTGGCTAGGATTACAGGCCTCAGCCACCATCCAGGTGGTCCTAAAGCTTAAGGGTTAAGTGTAATTAAAATGTATTAATTTCACTGGAACGGAACAGACTTTCATTACAAACATATAGGAGATCCATATTGTCATATCTTTCCCTCAAATTTAATTAGTTTGAATTAGTACTTCATTCTTCCTGAATTTCAAAACATGCTTTGTCTACATACAGATCTCTCTTTAAACATTGAGGCCAACACCAGGAAAACTGATCAAGTCTCTGAAACAACTAGGTTTAAATTCCTTAACAGCTGCTTATATGAAGTCGTTAGAAATGGCTAAGGAGCTCTGCTCCGCTTTTAATATCCATTAGAAAGGCGAAGAGAGAAGCTACTATAATAGGATGGCACTACACAACACTACTATAATAGGCGTGGAACGTAATAGATCTGTTTCCAAAGTTACAGAAAGAAATCGCTTGAGACGGGAAACCAGTTGCAACCAGCTGTGGATCACCCTCCAAGTAGCCAGGAAGGAAAAACTGCTGGGGGGTGGGGGTGGGCACAGAAACGAGTCTCCAAGCAGATAGAGTTGAAGAAAGTTGACATACTGATTTCCAGATGCATCCACGGCCTGAATGTAGAAATAGCGGGCGGGAAGGACGACATCTGCTTTTAGCCCGGGTCCCCATATTCGACTCTTCTCGGGGCTCAGGCGTTGCTCTCGGCCGCTCCGCGCTGGCACAGTCCCCAGGATACAGCAGGAAAGCAGCAGAATGCTCCACATTTACGGGACGGACTCTCGCGGCGATCCCCGGGGAATGAGGCCGCGGAAGCGTGCACCGGCGCGCGGGGGGGGGGGCGGGAGGGCGGCTCGGCGCGCGCGGGGGGCGGTCCCCCCACAGCGATGTCCCCGCCGGAGGGTGGAGGGCCCACCGAGGAGATGGTCAGGCGTCCTGTTGGAACGGGTGGGGAACGGCGAGGGCCACTCGAGTTTCTGGGCCAGGATGAACTTGAGTTACCGCCCCCCCTCCCACCCCGCCGAGCATCCTTTTGGGTGGGCAGTGGAGGAGGCGAATCCGTCCCGCGCAGGGGGTGGGGGTCCAGCCTGGGTGCCAGGCGCGGTGATTGGCCAGCGCGCCGGCTAAGGCGCAGTAAGGCGTTCTGTGAGTGGCTGCGGGGTGGACACGCCTCCTCCGCGCCAGGGGCTTCCTGGGATATGTAGTTCGCGGCAAGACCAGCGGAAATTCTGCCACTTTTTTTTGTTTATCCTTTTTCTTGCCTTTTTTTTTTTTTTTAAACATTTTCTCCTGCATCTATTTGCTTTTCGATCGCCGCTTTTCTGGAACAAGTAGATGCTTCCGATGCCCTCCCAGAGACACTTAGGTTCAAGAGTCACAACTTTGCAAGATTTTTATGCATTTACTTTTGGTCGCCCTGTCTTCCGACCGGGCCCAGGGAGGGTAGAGAAGGAATCACCCAAGGACGGAATGACCGAAGCTACCCACCGGCCCGCCCCTGGGGAACCGGAGTCCCGACCGCGGTTCCCGGCGCTCTGACGGCCGCGGAAGGCCGGCCCCGGGGTAACCGGAGTGCGTCGTGGGGCGCCGCGCCAGCCCAGCTGTGATCCAGTTTGGTGTCGGGGTTCCACCGCAGCGGCAGCCATCGGACCCCGGCTGGAACAAGCCAGAGGTATCTGCCGGGCCGGAGTCGAGGAGGGGCTGCCCGCGGTGCTCCTGGAGCCCCCCCGGACCCCGGGGCAGGGCCCTAAGGCCTCTGGTCGGCGCCTCCGGCTCTCCCGGGGAGGCGTGGAGTCCGCGCTCCGGGAGCTCTGCGGCGTCCGAGTGGAGTTGCTTTGGTGTCGGGAAAGGGAAGGGTAGAGTTAGGCCAGGGACGGAGAGGACGAGTTGGATTTAGAAGTTCCCGGTCGGACGCCGGGGGCGGGGGGCTCCCAGTTCGCCACGCCGCGCGCGGCAGGGCCCGGGCACCTTGCGCCAGGGTGTCCACCGCCCCCTGGCTCCGCACGCTGCCCGCGGGCCCGGCCCGGGGTCGCCGCTCGGGGCGGTGGCTCCGGATCCCACCCGAGCCTCGGCCTCGCCTCTCCGGCTCGCTCAATCCTGCCTTCCCCTCCTCCCCCCCCCCCCCAGCCCCGGTGGTGGGGAGGCTCCGGCGCCCCGGCGGGCCTGGTTGGGGGCCTAGGCAAGGGGTTTCTTGGCTCCTTTTCGCCATTGTCGTTCTGGGTGACGCGAGTCGTCCCTTCGAGAACCCCCCTTCGGGGCCGCCCATCATCGCCGGGGGGCGTCAGCTGCGCGCGTCCACCTGGCGTCGTGAGACGCCCGAGTATCTGGGGGACCCCGGCCGGCGAACCCCATCTTCTCGGGGGGGGGAGGGCGGGGGCGTAGGGGGGACGGACGCCCGGTCCTCGGGTGCGCGGGGCGCGCGCGCGCGCGCGGGCCCGGGTCCCCGCCGCGGGAGCGCGGTGGGCGGGGGGCGCAGCTGCGCTTCCTCTCCGCCGCCCGGATCCGCGTCCCTGGCTGCCGCCTCCGCCTCGCCGCTTCAGGGCCGCGCTTCTGTCCGGGCAAAGGTGAGGACCCTCCCTCCTCCCTTCCCATCACTTCCATCTCGGCCTTCCCGGAGCCCGGGTCGAGGCGTGGTTCCCCCCCCCCCCCCCCGGGCGCCCTCCTCCTTGGGTAGGCCTGCAGCCCGGCTGTGGGGAGGGGTCTGGGCGGGTGGCGGGGACGGGGCCTGGGAAGGGTGGACCAGCCCGGGGCGCACGGCCAGCGCCTGGCCGGTCTCGGGACGGCCCCTGCGTTCCCGGTGCCGTCTGCATGCATGCATGCAGGTCACGAGGCCTGTCGGGTGCGGGAGGCTGAACTGAGGTGGACCCGGGCTCTGATAAACTTGATACTGAAGAACAGACCATCTGGAAAGCATGTAGTCGAGGTGATGGGTAGTGGTCTTACCAACGGTCTGTTTTACATGGCAGCCCGTTCCAGTGTCTTGGCTCCATGGGTGCATTTGAAGCTTGTTATTGAATACAGTTTTGCTCTGCAGGCAGGTAAGCAATGCTTCTGTCGCTTAGGAGAAGGTTTGTTTGTTTGTTTTTTTTTTTAAAGCAATTCGTTTAAGTCTAGACTCGGCCCAGCAGTTACTCGTATTAGTTAATCGTAATTTAACACTGCTCTTCACTTACCTGGATGAAGGAATCTCAGCTGATCATGCATTGGAACATAGTTACCATAATGCCCTGCATGCACAGACTAGGTACTTCGGAAATATTGTTGAGCTTGCCTTGGTGCTTTTGGTAGACTGGTGATACAGTCATCAAGAAAATCAACTTGCAGAAGGCCGTCGTTTGTCCTATAGACACAGACACACACACATCAATGTAGATGTAAAATCACACCTTATGAAGACTTGTGCAAGACAGGCACCAAGTATATGTGGGGTGACCTAGCTCAATTTGAAGAGTAAGAAAAGCACCTTCACAAAGTGGCATTTGAACAGATGTATTTGACAAATGAGTGGAAATTGCCTAGCGCAGGAGGTCAGCGGGGACAGAGAACCAGGAAAGCAGTGTGGAAGGAGCAGAAAAAGGCGTGTGTGTGTCTGTCTGTCTGACAAGACCTGGGCCAGGTCCGGAGCTGGCCTTTTGTTAGCAGAACTGAGGGTTTTAGGCAGGGAATTTCATATATCTGTAGCAAGCTTTATTTTGTCTTCATATAAATTAGATGAAAAATGACAATGTGGGGGTGGGGTGGCTTTTTGTAGGGACTGAGTTGTAAACTGAGACAAAAGGAGATCCCAGAGGTGATAAAACTTTGCTGCAGGCTGAAAGACAGACAATAACCAATGTATAGTGTAGTATTTCTTTCAATTACAATTACAACTTAACAGAATAATCAGTGATTGTTATGATTTGGTTCTTAACTGTACAAGCTGCTTAAGAAAATTGGGATTTGGGGGCTGGGAAGGTGGCTCAGTGGTAGAGTGCTTGCCTTGCAGGCATGAGGCCCTGGGTTCTATTCCTCAGCACCACATAAGCAAAAAGAAAAAACCCGGAAGTGGCGCTGTGGCTCAAGTGGTAGAGCATTAGCCTTGAGCTGAAGAGCTGAGGGACAGCGCTCAGGCCCAGAGTTCAGGCCCCACGACCGGACCCAAAAGAAAACCCTTCCCCCCAAAAAAAAAGAAAATTGGGATTTGGGGGTAGCTAACATCCCAGAGGCTGAAATCTGAGAATGATGGTTGGAAGCTAACCTGGGGAGGAACATCTGTGAAACTTTTTCCAATTCTTCAATTAACCACTCAAGTACAGCTGTGACTCAAGTGGTAGAATTCCAGCCTTGAATAAACAGTCTATAGGATGGCGTCCAGGCCCTGCTTTCAAGCCCTACTGAGGACATATTATAATATTGGCTTGTTAACGTTGAACATTGTGGGAGAAAAGACATAAGGCAGACATGACAGGGAAAGGAAAAGACACGAGCAGCGTGTGGGACATGGATTTTAGATTCTTTTCATTTTCTGCAGAATATCTTTTGACACTTTGTAATTTTTTTGCAGTGTTTTACTTTAATAAGATTTATAACCAGTACATAAAATTTCAAGGAGAAATTTCACGTCCTTGGTTTTTAGTGACAATATAAAATACGTTTTCATGATGATGATCACCTTTTTTTTTTGTGTGGGGGAGAGGATTATTCTTGCAAGTAACCATTTAGGAACAAAAGAAAAGAATGGTGTCTCAGGCCTTTAATGTTAGGCATGTGGGAGATGGAAATCAGGCGATGGGCGTTGAGGCCAGCCTGAACAAGAAGTTAGGGAGACTTCATCTCCACGGATGGCTGGGCTTGCAGCTGCTGCACTCCTATTTTTCCAGCTATAGGGGACTCCCAATGGGCTGAACCACTTCCTTTTCTCCCCTCTTTCTTTACCTCCCAAATAACTAGGATTATAGAACCGGTATATTATACGGTACCTGTTGTACCTGTGGTTTTGATTAGGATGTTATATGTGTGAATTAGTCTGATGGGCAGTGTTTGATTCAACACAAGGAAGGAAGCAAGCTAAACTCCAGAGGGTGATACATAGCACATGCAGTCCTTAAGATTCATGAAGAGTTACTGGACCTCGACCAGCTTCTCTGGAGTTCAGGAGACTCTAGAGGTTCCTGCATGGCTCATATTCCATTTTTTCTTTTCCTTTTTTTTTTTTTGCCAGTCCTGATGCTTGAACTCAGGGCCTGAGCACTACCCCTGAATTTTTAACACTCAAGGCTAGCACTTACTCTGCCACTTAGGCCACTTGCATCTATTTGATGACTAATGGGAGATGAGAGTCTTACGGACTTTTCTGACAAGAATTGGTGACCTCTCAATTAGAAGAAAAATATTTTGGGGGTAGGGAGTATCTGGTGAAAACTCATTTTTAAAGATTAAAATTCTGTACTAGTTATTGACTTCAGTATGGCCCAGTATCATGTGGCTTTTATGTGGCCTGTGTGCAGTCTTCGAGCTTTTTTTACTCAAAGCTAGCATGTTACTACTTGAACCACAGCTTCATTTCCCACTTTTTGGTGGTTAATTGGTGATGAGTCTTTCCTGCCTGGGCTGACTTTGGAACCTTGATCCTCAGATCTCATCTTCCTGAGTTGCTAGGATTACAGGATTTAGCCACTGGCACCTGGCTGGCTGACAGTATACTTTTTGAGCAGTAATTCCAACATTATTTTTAGACACTTTTTTGATATGTAATTTGTACACTGTGTGGTCCCTCATTGACATATTTGCTACAGTGGCTTTCTGTATATTACCAAAATTGTGCTTTTAAATTCATTATCAAATATTGTCATTATTGCAAAAAAGGCTTATTATGGCCAGATGTGAGCCCTAGGCGACCATTAGAAGAGGCTTTGCTTCTTCTGCTCTTTTTATGCAAATGGGATCATGTAGCATCTGGTCCTTTGTGATGGGCTTCTTCCAGTTACTATAATGTTTTCAAAATTCATTCATGTGCAACCATGGATCAGTACTTTTTATTGCCAAATTAATTTCTACTGTGTGGACATACTACATTTATTTGTTCATCATTCGATAGGTATTTGGGTTCTCACTTTTTCTTGCTATAATGAGTAATGTAGCTGTGAACCTGTAGACATGTGTTTTCATCTTTCTTGATGTGGTCATAATGGTTTTATTTTTCGTGGATGTGCCTAGGAATAAAATTTCCAGACCATATGATAATTGTTTAAATATCTGAAAAACTGTTTTTAGAAACCTACTGGACTGTTTTACGTTTCTGCTAGCAATGTATTAGGGTTCTGACTTGTCTACATTCTAGCCAACACTTACTATTATCTCTCTTTTTATACTGTCATCATCCTAGTGGGTATTTCATTGTGATTTTGCTTTTCATTTTTGTGATGGCTCATGAGGATGAGCATCTTCTCATGTGTCTGTTGGCCATTTCTATCTCGCCTTTGGAGAAATGATCCCTATTCACACACAGAGCCCATTTTTTTTTTACATGCGCTATTTGTATTGTTGTTCTATTATTTAAGCTACTTTTGGAGCGGGGACATTACTTGGCTTCAACTTTAGGGCCTCATGCTTACTGGGCAGACACTACCACAGAGCCACACTTCCAGCCCTTTCTTGGACTTGTTATTTTGAGATAGGGTCTCACTTTTTTATCTGGGTATATCTCTGGACCATGATCCTCCTGTTTTACAATTCCTACCATAGCTGGAATGACAGGTGCATGTTATCACACTCAGAGATTTTTAAAAAGAGTTTATGATCATACCTCTAAGCATATAGTCATAAAATAAATATATATTGAATGAAGACGTACGAGTAATACTTATGTAACATTCAGTGCTATTTGTAGTATCTGGTGGATTGTTGATCTTTTTTTTTTTTCCTTTTCCCGCTTTCCTTAGGATCCAGCTTCTCAGTTCTCAAGTTTTTGTAGAATGCAGTAAGCTGCGGCCCACGTTGTTTTTTAAGAAGAGAAGGTTGTAGCTTCCTCCTAGCAACAGACACTTTTACAGTTGCATTCAATGCCTAACATTGCAGAACCCGAAAGGGCCAGTGATTCTGGAAATGGTGAGCACCAGTCCGAGAGGAAGTCTCTGGAAGAGAATCTACAAGGTGCTGTAAAATCTTTCTGCACAAGTACCTCAGGAGCAACCTTGGGTCCCAAAGGAGATGGCCATTACCCGTGGAGTTGTCCCGTGACTCACACTCGTGAAAAAATTTATGCCATCTGCTCAGACTATGCCTTCCTCAACCAGGCAACCTCAATCTACAAAACCCCAAACCCAGCCCGCTCCTCTTGCCTCTCTGACAGTACCTCGTTATCTACTGGGAATAATGCATCAAAATACATCGGCATCCCAACTAGTACATCTGAAATAATCTATAATGAAGAAAACAACTTGGACACGTTATCCAACAGCCTAGGCAAGCTACCTCTCGCATGGGAAATCGATAAATCGGAATTCGATGGGGTCACTACCAATTTGAAACACAAATCAGGTAAGGAAGGAACCATCAAGTTCACATGCGAAAACAAAGAGGAAATAAATAAATAAATAAATATATATACTATATACTTCTATATGTATATATATATATACATATATACTTCTATATGTATATATATATATTTTAAAAGAACTTGTTTTAGAGTTGAAGTCAGGGCTATGCAGTGTTTTCTTCTATATTCTGGGGGGTTTCAGGAGTGTTTAAATTTTTTTTTGTAATTATGGAATTACCATGAATGCCATTAATTATGCCATGTTTTAATTTCTTTCTTTTTTTTTTTTGGTCATGGGGCTAGAACTCTGGGCCTGTGCGCTGTCCCTCAGCTCTTCAGCTCAAGGTGAGCACTCTACCACTTGAGCTACAGTGCCACTTCCGGTTTTCTAGTAGTTTATTGGAGATAGGAGTCTCACGGTCTTTCCTGCCTGGGCTGGCTTTGAACCGCGATCCTCAGATCTCAGCCTCTTGAGTAGTTAGGATTACAGGCCTGAGTCACTGGTGCCCAGCTCTCTCTCTCTCTCTCTCTCTCTCTCTTTTTTTTTAATCTTTGTTGTTGGTTGTGGGGCTTGAAGTCAGGGCCTGGGCATTCTTTTAAGCTTTTGTATTGAAGGGTAGTACTCTACAACTTTGAGCCACAGCTCCACTTCCAGTTTTCTGATGGTTAGTTGGAGATTAAGAGTCTCATGGACTTTCCTGCCCAGGATGGTTTTGAACCAAGTTCCTGAGATCTCAGCTTCCTGAGTTGCTAGGATTGTAGGCATGAACCAACAGAGCCTGGCTTACTTGAACATTTATAAATACTCTAGCTTCCACATATGAAAGAATACATGAATTACTTGTCCCCTTGGGCCTGACCTATTTCACTTAACATTATTTTTTCCAGGTTTGTCCATTTCTTTGCAAGTCATGTAATATTCTTCGTATTTATTTCATGGTTTTCCTTTTAGTATTATCATTATTAATATGTAGTTTTACAAAGAGGTTGCAATGCTATAAGCCAGGTTATGAGTACAGTGCTTCTTCATTAATGTCATTCCTTCCATTTCATTTTTAAGTTGTCAGATTTGGGGGCATGATGGTATATTAGTCCTCTAATGTGTAATAGTGATTTTTCAGATACTTGAGAGTTCTTTTCTTCTAAATATTGATTTAATTGCATGACAAGCACAGGCATATGATCTTAGTCTTTGAGAATTTACTGAGCCCCATTTTATGACCCAGCATATGGTCTATCTTGGTGAATGTCCAGTGTGAACTTGCTAATGCTCTGAATTCTGCAGCTATTGGTATATCTATAAATATGAATCAGGTCAGAGTGTTTGGAAGTGTCAATCACATCGGTGTTTGTATTTAATTTTCTTCTTGCTCTATCAGTTACTGAAAGGTGGATGCTAGTAATCTCCAACTGTGATTTGGAACCATCTTTTCATTTAATTAATCCCTTTAGAAATGACATACTAAGTTATAGCAAAACGTAACAAAACCCGGAACAAAGTTAACCATCTCTTAACCATTATTATTGTGTTCAGTGGCTTTAAGTGTGCATATGTTGTTACATAGCTGTCCCCACTATCCACCTCCAGGTTTCTTTTCATCCTCTTCAAGAAGAAATACTGTGCATGTTAAATATTAAGTCTCCATTTCCTCTCTCTCATTCTTGTTCCTATCTCTGTGAATCTGACTTCCTTAAGTGGAAGCATTCAGCATTTGCCCTTTTTTGACTGACTTATTCATAGCCACTCCTGTTCTTTCCTGGTTACTTTTGCTTAGAATATCTGTTTCCATCTCTTTCCCTTGGAATCTGTTTCTAGATCTAAAGTGTGTGTCTTATTGAGAATGTATAGTTGGAGCATGTTTTAAAAAAGTGATTCTGCTGACCTATGTGTTTTTTATTGGAAAGTTCAGTTCATTTGCATTTGTATTTGCAATTTGGTCCTCCTAATTGCCATAAGGAGGGAGTTCTCCCATTTTGCTATGTGCTTTCTATGTGTGTTACAGCTTTTTATGTCGCTCATTCCTGCGTTTGTGTTTAGTTACTTTTTGCAATGATTTTTTAGTTCCCTTTTGTTTATATGTATTTATTTTTTACTTATTATTTATTTATTTATTTATTTTTGGTCTGTCATGGGGGCTGAACTCTGGGCCTGGGAGCTGTCCCTCAGCCCTTCAGCTCAAGGCTAGCACCCTGCCACTTAAGCCACAGTACCACTTCCAGCCTTTTTCTGCTTATGTGGTGCTAGGAATTGAACCCAGGGCCTCATGCATGTGAGGCAAGCATTCTACCACTGAGCCACCTTCCCAGCCTCTTTATTTATATTTATATGTCATCCTTGTCACTGTCACTTAAGCTATTTGTGGTTTCCATGAGGATACCATACTCTAGTTTGATGTTTACCATCTCAACTTCAATAACATGCAGAAATTTGTTCATTTACAACTTTATCCTCACCCTTTTATATTACATTCAGCCTTATTTTAAGCATAAATATATATCTTGATGCACTAATTTCTTTTTTATTAGTATACATAGTGGTAAAAGAGGGCTCTCCTTGTGACATTCCCACACAGGCATGGGAATCAATCCCACTCTACTGATCTAAATATCACCATTTCTCTGTGGTCATACATGTGAACAAAGTACTGCGGCCATTTTTACCCTCACTATTCTCTTTGCTAACTCTCCTTCCGCCCACAGGTAACCTCTTCTCCCCCCGAGCAGAGATGGTTTTACTTTTTTGTGTTTGTTTCATTCTTTTTAAGTGTGCATCAAATTGTACCAAGCAGTTTCCCTATGATATTTCATCCATATTCTATATGTTGCTCAGAACAGATGTCTCTATTGCTTTCCTTTGCTCTACTCCCAACCCTTTTTTTGATTGATATTCATTTGTAGTGTATTTTATTTTATTTACTTACTTATTTTTACATAGAAGTGTATTTTATTAAACCTAAGGGTGGCTACTCCTTCCTGTTTTCAGGGTTCATTTGCTGGAAGATTTATCTATTGGCTATGCTTTCAATTTTCTTTCTTAAAATTTGGGTTATTTACCTCCTTGGGCCTAGGGTTTTGGACTAAGATTTCTATATCTTTATTTAGAGTTACTCTTTACTGTCCTGCATTGTCTTTTTTCATCAGCTGTTTGTTTGAATTTTCTAGTTGTTGGTTGGGAGTCTCTTTCAATTTATCCAGGAGTTTATGCCGTGCTCTCATGTTTCTTAGATTTATTCTATTGAATTCATTCTTTTTTTTTTTTTTTCCCTTGGGTCCGGTCCTGGGGCTTGAACTCTGGGCCTGGGCGCTGTCCCTCAGCTCTTTAGCTCAAGGCTAGCACTCTACCACTTGAGCCACAGCGCCACTTCCGGCTTTATTTTTTCTTCTGCTTATGTGGTGCTGAGGAATCTAACTAGGGCCTTAGGCATGCAAGGCAAGCACTCTACCACTGAGCCACCTTCCCAGCCCCTGATGTCATTCTTTAAACTTTCATCCTCTTCACTATCACTTAAGTCCCATATTGCGGAGTTACTGGCTTTTGAGAGACTCACATTGCCTCATTTATTCATGAGAAAGAAGTCAGTGATTTTTCACTGAGATTTACTCATTTGAGACCCAGTTTAGGTGGGTAGTTCAGTCTCCTGTGATCTTTTAGTTGGTTATTTCTCAAAGATTACTTAAGGATTGGTAATGGCTGGGTTGTGGCATATTTTTCTTTTACTAGATTGGATAGGTATGGCTCCATTGTCAAATAATTAGCTTGACTGCCGAGGACATTGTTTGCGGAAGTCTTCCATACTGAGGGTGCAGGAGCTGGCCTATAAAAGCGATTGGATGGATAAACCACAAACTTGCGTTTGTGGCAATCCCTGACGAAGACTGGTCTGCACTGCTGCTCCACTATGTTTAGATGTATGTAGAAGCAAAGAGGTATCTTTGTGCTTTAGGAAAATTCTTAGTTAACCAAGGTGATAATAGGAAGGAGATGATGAGGATAACATGAATGAATAATACGAGGTGTTTGGTTATAGAGGAAGGAAGGGATGGGAGCTGAGCTTAATAGAAATATTAATGAGGAAATGTGATGAGGTAAGTAGAAAAAAAACTAGTTAATATACTTGGATCAGAAGGGGGAGGGAAAATTATGAGAATTGAATAAACACACACAAAACTAAAACAGGTCGACAACAAAAATCCCCAAATAAAACTCAGAACAAGTAATACATAAGCAACACACACACATCCCAAAGAAAAATCAAAACCAAATGATATTTGGGCAATTTTAGTTACCAGGTGAGAATATAGGTAAGGGGGAGCATTAATGATGAGGAAACAGAGAAGGAAAGGTGAACTAGAAAGCAGATGTACTTGTAGATAGAAGGAAAGTATAAGGGAGGGAGAGCTATAGACAGGGAGTGACAATACAACTTAAAACGGTCTGTACTGTAAAGTAAAAACCTAGAAGTAAACGGCCTGCATCAGATGTTCAGCTTAAAAACGAATCCATACAGAACTTCACAGACCTGAGGCTCAACTTTCCCTTGCTGCTTTGGCCTCAGGCAAAGGGATTCTTTTCTAGCTGGGAGGTTCATGCTTCAGACAACGGTCATGAATGTGAACTTGCCTTCAAAGATTCAGCTGCCTCTGGCACTTGTGCTTCCAAACTCAGCAGGAAAAGTCAAGGTTCCATCAGTGCCAGGTGTCTGGGGCTGTGTCTTTGGCATCTCCGTTGCCTTTGATTTGTCGTGGACTGGGTGTTAGGAGTCACTGCTGCCCTCCGTCACTAGCACATACAGTGGCTGCCATACCCACACAGCTGTGTCAGTCAGCAGGGGGTGTCCAGCCTCAGTCACCTGTCCCCACCACCTCTGGAGTCTAAGCTCACCTTGTCAGTGTCACATCTTCTGGGCCATACGAGGTACTCGTCCCTCTCCTCAGCCACTCCTTATCACAGGCAGATACCCCAAGACCATGGTGAAGGGCCCATGTGAGTCACTGTGCCGTGATTGCTCCTATTTACCCCCCCCCTCCCCCAGCCCAGAGGAGCTCAGTCCCTAACAGCGGGCACTCTCTCCCAGGAGGGCAACTCACTTTCCTCCCTGTGGTGAGGGGAGGCATAGAATGCTTTTCTTCACCAGATGCAGCCTTCCACCCTGGGGTGGCCACTTCCTCACGAATCCCAGATGCCTGGGCTTTTCCTGCAGCTAGTATTGGCAGTCCACCGGCAGCAGGATCATCATCTGATGTTACTTTGTGCTGCAGTCTGTTTCCTTACTGCCTTGGTGGGAGTTGAAATAACCACACGTCGTCGCAGCAAACAAATTCCACCAGTGCCAATTGCCTAGGTTAATTAACCCTTGGTGGGGGAGGAGCACAGGTGCTCATTTACCCTTGAAGGAAGAACAGCCCATATGACCAGAGAGAGTCATCCTCTCTCCAGCTGAGTCTGCAGATTCGGGAGGACTCACAAACAACAAGAAGGGGAAAAAGACAGCCACCCTTAGTTCTTTTTGCTTTCAGTTTGTTTTCCTGAGAGGGCCTTGCTCTAACTTTGCATGTGCTACTGAAGCCTATTTGTCTTTGATATGGGATCTCCCTAACTTTTCCCTGGGCTGTGCTAGAACTGTGATGCTCCTGTCTCCCCCTCCAAAGTAGCTGGGATTGTGTGTATCATTCTTTGTCCACTGTGGTCTCTGAAGGCCTAAAGACATATTTAAACATCATGTTTTTCTCTCTCTAGCAGATTTCATTGATGTAGTTTAATTGTTTTAGAGAAAGGATCTGTCTTCTGCAAAGCAGTCTAATTTAATATTACTGTTGATAATTTTCTAGATGTGGCTAAAGAGGTGGTGATTGATTCTTTTATGAGCTAAATGACTAGCTCTGGAGTTGTGTACAAGAACTTGATAAGAAATAGCATTCAGAGTAGCGTAAGTGGTTTTATTCTCTTAGTTTTCTGTAAGGTAGATAAATAATTTTTTTTTCCATCGGTCCTAAGGCTTGAACGCAGGGCCTGGCCACTGTCCCTGAGCTTCTTTTGCTCAAGTCTAGTGCTTTACCACCCAAGTCACAGTGCCACTTCCAGCTTTTTCTGAGTAGTTTATTGGAGATAAGAGTCTCATGAACTTTGCTACCCAGGCTGACTTTCACCCCCTATTCTCAGATCTTAGCCTCCTGAGTAGCTACGAATACAGGCGTCAGCCACTGGCACCCGGCTGACAAGTATTGTGTGTGTGTGTGTGTGTGTGTGTGTGTATATGTATATATATAATGTTTGTAAATATCATTTTTAGAATTAGTGGTAGTTACTTTTTAATTTTGATGTGTAATTTTGTCATGACAGTGTACTTCACCTTAAGTGTTGTATTCTAGGCAATGCAAAGAAACAAGTTTCCAAGAAAAAAACTTCGGATAGAAAAGGAAGACACCAGAGAGAATGCCCTCAGCATTCTCCTCTTGAAGACATCAAACAGCGGAAAGTGTTAGATCTCAGACGATGGTAATACTATGTCACTTTTTATTTTTCAACTTAAACATGTTCTGACATCTTTTCCCTTTTGTGAGTTCACACATATAGATAGGATAAATGTTTATAGTTCTAAGATTATATCTGGGATTTCCAAATATTAGAATTGTACCAAAACTCTTAAGATTTGAGCTTGCTCAGTTTTATTGCTTGGCTTGTATCCCACCTTTTTATTCTTCATATTTTTTTTAGGTAAGTCTTATTTTTTTTTTTTGCATTGGGTAGACCTCCAGCCATGATCCTGCTACCTGTAACTTCCTGTATAACTGGGACCACAGACATGCACTGACACACCCGGCTTAACTGAGATGGGGTCTAACTTTTTCTCTGGGCTGGCACAGAACCATAGTCCTCTTAATCTCTATTTCCAAGTGAAATTACAGACTGACGCCCCTGCCTGGCTAGAAAACAGTGCCTGTTACAATAATACCAAAAGAATAAAATACTTTAGAATAAGCTTAAGACTGTACTGAAGAAAAAAGAAACTACTGAAACTAGAGATACAATTCAATTGTCAGCTGTGCTGTTTTCATGAATTACAACACTTAGTATTTTGTCCTTACTTCCCCAGTGTTTAAGAAGTTTAAAAAATCATGGATGAAGCTCACATGGACAATCAGACAGATTTTGTAGCTGATATCTGCCTTTACATATCATTAATTTTTTTCCTATTTGTTTGGATAATGTCTGCTTTATTAATCACAATTGGCTATCTAGTAAAACGTATGCTAGAATATTGTTATACTTTTATTTTGTGTTTAAGAAATACAAAAAGGGCTGAGAATATGGCTTAGTGGTAGAGTGCTTGCCTTGCATGCATGAAGCCCTGGTTTGATTCCTCAGTACCATATAAACAGAAAAAGCCAGAAGTGGCGCTGTGGCTCAAGTGGTACAGTGCTAGCCTTGAGCAAAAGAAGCTCAGGGATAGTGCCCAGGCCCTGAGTTCAAGCCCCAGGACCAGCATTAAAAAAAAAATATTTTAAATGGATAAAGATTTTGCTTTGCTTTATCTGATCAAAGTTTCAATATATCTGAGTCACCAGGAGATGTATATTTCTCTTAGTCATACTTTCATATTCATTCTTCCATTTTCTCAGGTACTGCATAAGCAGACCACAGTACAAGACTTCTTGTGGCATTTCCTCATTAATTTCATGTTGGAATTTCCTATACAGCACAATGGGAGCTGGGAAGTAAGTATGTCAGTTCATTGCTATCCCCAAACTCCAACAAATTTGAAAGTAATTCAGTGTTCCTTTTTCTAGAATGGAAACTTTTGAGACCAACCTTTTCTTACATTAATAGACTAAAATGCTATGTTTTGTCACAGGCCTTTTAGTTTAAATATATTTTATTTATTTATATTAAATGCATTTTTGTTGTTGTTGTTTTTGGTGGTTGTGGGACTTGAACTCAGGGCTTGGCTGTTGTCCCTGAGCTCCTTGTGCTCAAGGTTAGTGCAGTACCACTTTTTTTTTTTTTGTCGGTTGTGGGGCCTGAACTCCAGGCCTGGACGCTGTCCCTCAGCTCTTTAGCTCAAGGCTAGCATTCTACAACTTGAGCCATAGTGCCACTTCTGGCTTTTTCTGATTATGTGGTGCTGAGGAATTGAACCTAGGGCCTCATGCATGCAAGGCAAGCACTCTACCACTGAGCTACCTTCCCAGCCTCCTGGTGTACTTTTTTTAAATAAAAGAAAATGAAGGACTGGGAAGATGGCTGAGTGGTAGAGTGCTTGCCTCAAATGCATGAAGCTCAGGGTTCAATTCCTCAGTACCACATACACAGAAAAAGCTGGAATTTGCTCTGTGGCTCAAGTGGTAGAGTGCTAGCCTTGAGCAAAAGAAGCTCAAGGACAGTACCCAACCTCTGGGTTCAAGCCCTAGGACTGCCCCCCACACCCCCCAAAAAAGAAAGAAAAATGAAAATGATTAACTGAAAATTATTTGCAAGCTAGAGGTTTATTAATACTGGTGTGAATTGTCTCTGGGAATGATTAGGACTGTAAAATGACTGACAGCTCCTCTTTCACAGCCTTCCACCCATAACCCAAGAAGAAGCTTTACATATTCTGGGCTTTCAGCCGCCATTTGAAGATATCCGGTTTGGCCCATTCACTGGAAATACAACACTCATGAGGTATGAGCTTGCCACTTAGAGGCAAGGGTCCGGTCGTGGGTCTGGTCCACTTTGGGTCCGGTTGTGGGCCTTAACTCTGGGCCTAGGCGCTGTCCCTCAGCTCTTCAGCTCAAGGCTAGCACTCTACCACTTGAGCCACAGCTCCACTTCCGGCTTTTTTTTCTTTTTGCTTATGTGGTGCTGAGGCATCGAACCCAGGGCCCCATGCATGCAAGGCAAGCACTCTACCACTGAGCCACCTTCCCAGCCCCCTTTGCTCGTTAATGTAAAACGCAAGTCTTTTTTTGGGGGGGGAGGTTCGGTTGTGGGGCCTGAACTCTGGGCCTGGGCGCTGTCCCTCAGCTCTTCAGCTCAAGGCTAGCACTCTACCACTTGAGCCACAGCTCCATTTCCGGCTTTTTTTTCGTTTTGCTTATGTGGTGCTGAGGAATCGAACCTAGGGCTTCAGGCATGCAAGACAAGTGCTCTACCACTGAGCCACCTTCCCAGCCCATAAAATGCGAGTCTTAATAGCCTTTTCTGCGTGGGCTGCCTTCAAACTGCGATCCTCAGATCTCAGTCTCCTGAGTATCTAGGAGCACAAATGTGAGTCACTAGCAGGCAGCTACAATACCTTCTTTCCAGTCATGCCAAGTAATAATGCTGTTGGCGGTGTGGATAGTAAATGGCTTATCTGAGTCTAGGTCCCTTACAGACATGCTGAGCTCCGGCTGTGCTAAATTGCTGTTCAGCTGGAGGAATAGCCTTCCTCGAACGATTGTTATTAGCAAATCCTCTTCTTATTTTCAGATGGTTTAGACAAATTAACGATCACTTCCATGTGAAAGGATGCTCTTATGTTCTATATAAGCCTCATGGGAAGAACAAAACAGCTGGAGAAACAGGTAGGTGAACATATTTGTATATACACTTCAGTGTTTGTAGGTATACACACACATACACACACACTTCAGGGTTCATCTCAAAGATTGGCTATAGTAACAGTCTGTTGCTTTCACATTCTCTTTATCTGAGGAGAAAATCATGACAGAAGGGATTTTTTAATATGTAGTTTATTTTTGATACTCAATGAAATAATAGTGGTGATATTTGTATGTACAACTTTTAGACCCTCCAGGCATGTCGTAAACACTACTACCACGTTGATTGTATTGTGTGGATCCATGTTCTGTGTCTCTGTGTCTGTGCTGGGAAAACTCTTTTAGGAGGCAGCATGGAATTTGCAGTTTTTCCTAAAAGGGTAAAGGAATGATTTGAGACTATTTCAAGCTAGATCACTGTGATAACCCAAAACAACAGGACAAAGGATTGTAAAATGGACAAGACTTTGTTGTAAAATAATCTTGGTTATAGCAGAAATACTAACATAAAATAGATCTTCAGGATTATTTTAGGTGCTAATTAAATTATTTCTATTAATAATTTCCTTTTTGTGATGGTGGTTGTGTATTGTGGGGCTTGAATTCTGGACCTAGGTGCTATCCTTGAACTCTTTTACTCACTCTACCACTTGGAGCTATAGCACCACTTCTAGTTTTCTGGTTAATTGGAGATAAGAGCTCATGACTTTCCTGCCTAGATTGGCTTCAAACTGTGATCCTTACATTTCAGCTTCCTGAGTAGCTAGGATTACAGGCATAAGCCATCAGCACCTGGCTGATAATTTCCATTTTTAATTGTTACATTAATTTTTGTACATTGCAAATCAGAGAACTGTTAAGATGTTAAAGTAAATGACTCTGTGTGTGTGTGTGTGTGTGCGTGCGCGCACGCGCGTGTGCATGCGCGTGTGTGCGCTGCTCCTGGGGTTTCAATTCAGGGCCTGAGCTGTGTCCCTCTCTGTGCTCAAGGTTAGCACTCTACCACTTCAGTCATAGTGCCACTTCCAGCTTTTTCTGAATAGCTTATTGGAGATAAGATGATCAGACTTTCCTGCTGAGGTTGGCTTTGAACCACAATCCTCAACTCTCAGCTGAGTAGCTAGGATTACAAATGTGAGCCATTGGTGTCCGGCTGACCCTGACATTTTTTGCTCAAAGTCTAGCTAGCACTCTTCCACTTGAGCCATAGCTCCACTTTTGGCTTTTTTTTGACTAATGGGAGATAAGAGTATCTATTTATTCAAACACAGGCTTCAGACTCACGTCTGGATTTGACTTATAGTTTGGAGATTGCCAACCCTCGGTGTAATGGCTGAAGCCCAAATAACCAAATTTTGGTGCTTGAGCAACTGGCATTCTAGTGTCTCATCCAGCCTCTCTCTTCGGAGGGGCTGCGTCAGCCTCCTGACACTCAGCCTCCTCTTCACAAGTTCTACAGGTCATCTGTTCCTTTGACCCTTTCTTAGGGAGCAGCCTGGCGCAACACATACAGGATGTAGGATTGTCTGCTCATTTATCTATTCTTGCACTTTAGGAAGGCTTTCTTTTCTGCTTGCCAGGCCAGATGAAATCCATTCCCTGGGGTATCACAATATGTGTTTATGCCTCTCATTTGAACTCCCACTTAGCTGCTAAGTGATTCTCGGCATACTAGCTGGTTTCTGTTTAAAAAAAAAAATTCTGGGCCATCTTTCTTGAAAATAGGGCCTAGATGGTTAAACTTAGGTATTCACTATGAGTTCAGGAATCCTACATAGAGGAAATGAAACAGGAGGAATTAGGTAAATTGGGATTAGAAATTCTGTAGTAGATATTGTTTTTTCCTCTATCTAAAAGCTTGACATTTTTCCCGTGGAAGTACTCTTTTGTTCTCTTTGTCTGTAGCTCACCTCTTCTGGCTCTAATCTTCCTCCTCCCCCACTCCTCCAGCACACATCACCTGTTTTGGGTGTCACCCGCAGCCCCTCTTGTCCTTTTATTTGAGGTCTTGCTGTTCTCTATTTTTCAGATTTCTAGATGTTACCTTTTCCTAAGGATTAGGTATTGCCTTCTACATTGTAAGTGCTCAGGAATAAGCTTAGGATGTCTCTGGATTATTCATTAACTACTTCATACACTCTTTTTTTTTGGGTTGTTGTTTGTTTTTTTTTTGGTTGTGGGGCTTGAACTCTGGGCCTGGGCACTGTCCCTCAGCTCTTCAGCCGAAGGCGTGTGCTCTACCACTTGAACCACAGCGCCACTTCTGTTTTCTGGTGGTTTCTTGGAGATCAGAGTCTCATGGATTTTCCTGCCCTGGCTGGCTTTGAACCATGATCCTCAGATCTCAACTTCCTGAGTAGCTAGGATTACAGGTGTGAGCCACTGGCGCCCAGCCTACTTCATACACTGAATAGAGTGTGTGCCAAAATACATGTCTGGGTAACTAGACACACTCAGTGGTTAGGATGGGACACATTCTAGTAAGCCACTCTCTGCAGTTATGACTAGCCTGTGTCAGGCCTGCCCTGTGAGAAGGTACCAGGTGGGACTCATTATTCTTTTCACTTAGTTATCTTATTGCCTGAGTCCATAAGAGGATGTCATCATAGCAGCTCTCAGTTAATAACACTGGCAGAATTGAGTTGGAGTGGCAGGATGGGTGAAAAATGAGTCAGTGAAATAAAAGGAAATCAAGGGAAGATGAATACCAGATACACAAAAATTTATGGATGTTTTCACATCATCATTGAAATTTTCTCCAGTCTTTTTATTTGAGGAATGAGATAACCTACTTTTTTTCTTCTTAGCATAAGAACAGTGATAAAACCTTTATAAATTAACTATATATAGTATTTTCCTAGTATTATTTTCCTCTTTTCCAGTTAGAGGACTGGAGTCTCCTTGTTACGTTTTCTGTTTGTATTTCAAGGGAGAGTGATCTGCTTTTCTTTCCCTTCCACATCAGTGGTCCCACTTGAGCCCTGATCCATCTCTGCAGTTATTTGCTGGATTCCCCTTATCTCCGACAGCATGAAACATTTACATAGGTTGTTTGGCATTTGGTGTGTGCCATCTTATGTTTCGTGTTTGTGCACGCGTGTGTGCATATCCAGCTCCATGCCCGTAGGGGCTATTCTGAATAGGCCTCTACAGCACTGGTTGAATTGGGGAGGAGTATTTTTTCTTTCCTTTTTTTTTTTTTCTTTTTTGGTTGGTCATGGGGCCTGAACTCTGGGCCTGGGCCCTACCCCTCAGCTCTTCAGCTCAAGGCTAGCCCTCTGCCACTTTGAGCCACAGTGCCACTTCTGGCTTTTCTGCTTATGTGGTGCTGAGGAATCGAACCCAGGGCCTCATGCATGCAAGGCAGGCACTCTACCACTGAGCCACCTACCCAGCCCGAGGAGCGTTTTTTCTTTTCTCTCACTGTGGAAGAGAGTTGGCAGAGATGGTTTCTTTCAATTTGTCTCTGAGGTTCTTGTTGGTGGAAACGATGTCAACCAGCTTAATTTAAACATATTCTGAATTGTGTCTTCTCTTTCAGTTTAAATTATTCTTCAGGATTGTTAGGTGTGTATTCTACAATAGTCGTTCTGTTTTCTTGGGGACTACATGCTTTTTGTATTCCCTGGTGCTTGCTGACATGCCAGCATACTCATTTCCAGTGGGCGCCAGGACAGAAGGAGCCTCCTCTTGGAGTAAAGTTGAAACTTAGGTAGTAGGATAACATTTAATGCAAGCTAGGGTATTTCTTTTTTTTTTTAATTATTTTTTTATTGTGAAAATACTGTACAGAGAGGATATTTCTTTTCAGAGATATTAACTAATCACAATGAAGCTGCTAAAAGTTGACAATGCCAGCTTTACCCTGTGATGATTTCATGGTATTGAATCAGTTAGCTACCTGCATTTATGCCAGGAAGTCTAAGGGTTTTTTTTTTTGGTGCCACTCCTGTGGCTTGAACTCAGGACCTCGTTGTTGTTCTTGAGCTTCTTTTGCTCAAGGTTGATACATAGTCTATTGCTTGAGCCACAGTTACACTTCTGGCTTTTTTTGGTAGTTCATTGGAGAAAAGAATCTCACGGACTTTCCTGTCTGAGTTGGCTTCAAACTGTGATCCTCAGAACTCAGCCTCCTGAGTAGCTAGGATTATAGGCATGAGCCAATGGTACCTGACCCTTTTTTCCCTCACCTTCCCTTCCCTCCCCTCCCCCCCTCACCCCAGATAGCTTGAAAATTATGCTTACATTCAGGTACTTAATATTGTTCTTCCAGTGAGGATCAAGTTCATTTTTGTTCAACAGAACCTCTGCCTTATTCCTACGTAACCCATACATGCCCTTCTCATAGCTCTTGCTCTTAGCTTCCCTAACACCTCAGTGCATTTCAGGTGGACTGTGCATTGGTATTCTGTTTCCTGCATTCATCGTTTGCCTCCAATTCATAGTAAACACAGTGCCAAATAGATTTCTTAGTGCTCATGTTACATCCTCTGGGGCTTCCTAGTGCTTACTTTCTACATAAACCCAGGAAGGCCACTCAAAGCTCCTCTCTCCCGTGGGCCATCTCCAGTTTTTAAAAGATACAAATGAAGAACTACCTATCCCAGTTCCAGAATCTTTCAACTTCAAAGATGTAAAAAAAAAGCATTCTCAAAAGTTCTTCTGAAGTTCTCTAGGATTTTCCTATGGATGACCAGTAGCTACAGGGCAAATCAGTACACTACACGGAAAGACAGTCGGTTGTTAATGTATTAAAGTAAGATTCACCATGCCACAGGGGCCAGGATTCTGTCCTCAGCAGCTCAGCATTCCTGTCACCCTGCTGGAGGTGAGGCGAGTCCTGTGGTTTCCTTCTCCTCACTCCACAATGCAGCTCACCGGTTGCTTTGTCATTTCAAGTTCAGGGTGTTTTTAGATACATTCTGATAGGGAGTGAACTTCATTCGGAATTTAGCTTCCATCTGTAGCACATTTGTATGTCTTCAATACACAGAATCACCTTCTTGGATGACTCATGTATTTATTGCTCTGTTTACTGTCTTTTATTTCAGAGGATGATCTGATCTATTTCTGACTTTGTCCTGAAATTGTGGGGGTTCCCTACGGTAGGCTTCTCTCTGCTTTTGTACCCTGTGCTCCGAACTAAGTGATTTGCTATTCCCAGATTATCACGCTCCCTTCTGTGCTTTTGTTTTTCCTCTCAGACCCTTTTCTCTGTCTGGATTGTTAAAATCGTCCCACTCCATTCAGTTCCATCTTGAATGCCACCCCTTCTGGATTCCTCACACCTGACATGTGCCTTCTCTGAGCTCTATACCTGTTTGTGGCACTGTCTTATTCCACCTTATGTTAAAATCACTTGTATCTTCTTCCTTGGGAGAGCTTGTCTTTTGTGTCCCTGCAGAATATGATGGAGTCTGTAAAAGAGCCCTGATTCAAATTCACGGTAGCCAAATTTAGCCTCAGAATTCAATCTCCTGCCTCATCTTCCCAAATGTGAGAGTGTAGGCTTGTACCACTGTCCTTAACTTGAAGCAGAGGCTTCAATAGGAAAGATCTCCTTGCTGTGAAAAGATGCTCTTGCCAGAGGTCATGATGAAAAATAGAGATGCATAGCACATTGTGTGAGGGGGAGGGGCTGCCCTCTCCGCTCTGCTGTAGCAGTTAACCTGCTGCTGTTAGTGTTCTTTACCTACTGTGGTGGCCAGAAAGTCAATCATTGCCACATGCAAGCTTTCATCTGCTATTTTTGGGATTTGTAGTTTTAATGGGCAATTTCTTAATGAATAATTTAATTTCTTCCAGGAATGCAAGTTAATGAAACCTCAGTTAATGGCTTTCAATACTGAGTGCTGGTAAAAACTTTTATTTTTATGGCAATACATTTGAAATTGACATTGATGATAGTGATGGGAAACAGACAAGAAAGAATAGTTAGAAGAGTGTGTGCTACTCCAGCTTGACTGTGGAGCTGTTCCAGCACTTGGGATGTGAAAGTGAATTAACCTTTCTTGTATAACTTTTTCAGAAGGGTGGAAGTGTGTGTTAATGTGGAGAAACTGGCAGTTCTGGAGTTTGTTTGTATTATCTGGAGTTGAAATTTATGCCCCGTACTTGAGTGGTATTTAAATGGGGACATACTATATATATTAGAAAGTCTATATTTTGACCTGATTTAAAGTTTTTACTTTTTTGTTGTTGTTGTTGGTTGTGGGGCTTGAACTCTGGGTCTGGGCACTGCCTCTGAGCTCTTCAGCTCAAGGCTAGCATAGCGCTCTTCCACTTGTGCCACAGTGCCACTTCCAGTTTTCTGGTGGTTTATTGGAGATAAGAGTTTCATGGACTTTCCTGTCCAGGTTGGCTTTGAACCCCAATCCTCAGATCTCAGCCTACTGAGTAGCTAGGATTATAGGTGTGAGCCAAAAGTACCTGGTTTAAAGTTTTTATTTTTGTACCTCTTGTAAAGATTTATACTAGTGTATGTATTTTTATGAACAAATGCACTTACATTTGGCATACACATTCAGCAATTTTTAGTGTTAGATAAACACAATCAGGAGAGTTGAGATCATCATTATATATATATAATCACAAGGTCATATCCAGTAAATAACTTTCATAGACAACTTTTTAAAATTATTATTATCTTTAAGTAATTGTACAAATAAGTTCCCAGTTCCCATTCTACAAAACAGTAGATGAGTACAAAGTTCTGACGACATTGTCACCCATCTCTCCTAACCCATCCCTTCTCTCACTTTTTTTCTTTAATTGAGATTAGGTGATGACATAAATTTCACGTATTTCACAGTATTGTGGAATAGTGATACTTAAAGTCATAAACACATTTTAACCTTCACAAGGCAAATTGTCATTATCATGGTTCATAGACAACTTTATGTAGTATTGGAAAGGTTTGGTAAACCAGGACAGTTTTTCCTTTTTTTTTTTCTTTTGCTGTTGACTTTATGTGAATTTCAGTCTAAAAGATCAAATGGAAAGTGAATTCATTAATACTTTTTTGCTTTTCCCCTGCTGTGTCAATGTGTTCTAAGTAATGTCTTTTCTGTCTCTTGAACCTTCACTCATCCATGGTATATAATACCAACATTGTTTTGTGGGCCCTCAATTTGTTTGGTTTTCTTTTCTGTAGCTTCGGGAGCCTTGTCAAAGTTAACTCGTGGACTGAAAGATGAATCGCTGGCTTACATCTATCATTGCCAAAATCATTATTTTTGTCCAATTGGCTTTGAAGCAACTCCTGTTAAAGCAAGTAAAGCATTTGGGTAAGAATGTACATATTTCATATGGGTATTATCACCAGGAAAATATGCTATAGAAAGAGTTTTAAGGAATTAAAAAGAATTTGGAGTCTCTTAGGAATTGGGAAGCTTAACAGTCTATTTTCTTTGTATCTAATTAGCCTATTCATTAAACATTAGAATTTATTCTTTGCAGAGTTGCATTTAGTTAATTGCACTTTAACAAATACTCTTGTAGATGCTGGGGCTTAGACATAAGAGAAAGCTATTTGAAAAAACACTTTTCTGTCTACTGTAAAACAATTATAAAAGCCATTATGTACTATCTTGTCCTTATCCAGGATTCCACATGAACAATGTGCCAGAAATAACTAAAAAGTATCTTCCCTTCTAACCATGAAAGACATGGAGAGTATCAGGATTCCTCTTTATCCTGGTTGCAAGAAAACTCTGTACCAAATTTTATTTCCCTGTCAGGAACCATATTACCTTCATGGCTATATTTGTTTGTTTGTTTTTTAATTTCCTCAATCCACAGTTTATATTTTATAAATTTTATATGCTCATAAATTGATATCTTCTTCTTCTTTTTTTTTAACAAGAGTCCTAAAAGGGAAGATCACTTAGTTTGACTACAATTTTTCTTCCTTTCCATGTTTTCTTCATGATGGTTTGAGGAAATGCCACGATCCTGGAAAGCAAAGGAAGAAGTGTTCAGGTTAAGAAATGATGAAAGCAGAAATTGTGTGTATTTTAAGTAAAGACTCTGATAGGCAAATTCATCTGGCCATGCTGAGGCTCTGGTTTGTTCACATTTAGATGCAGGGGCTTGTTAACTGAGGCAGGTGGAGAGAGAAGAGGTGATCTGCTTCTTGGAGAGCCCAGGGTCCCCTGTTAGCAGTCTTGGTCATCTGAATAGGATTAGGTTGGAGGAGATGGAGGATCTCACTCAGAGGACTTGGGGGCTGTAGGGAGAAGAGAACCTGACACAAGCAGCAGGTAAACCAGGAAGTTACAGAATATTACATTTTTACAAATGCTTTGTTCATTTCTCTGGAGCTGAATTTGTTATGAGAGGTACATTGCTATTTCTTTAATGGTCTTCTCTAGCTTCCTAGAACTTCACCTTGTTTCTAGCATCTACCAAAACGTCCAACCTCATTTTACTTCCACTTTGTACCCTTAAAAATAGAGTTCCTCAAGCCGGGCGCCGGTGGCTCACGCCTGTAATCCTAGCTACTCAGGAGGCTGAGATCTGAGGATCACGGTTCAAAGCCAGCCCGGGCAGGAAAGT